CCTTGCCCTTTCCTATAATTGTAGCATCCCACCCACAGCCCTGCCCTGACTCTTCTCTGTGTTCTACAGACTCCAGAAGAAGAACGAAACCTGCTGCTTGCTGACAGCAATGGCTATACAAACCTGCCAGATGTGGTCCAGCCCAGCCACTCACCTACTGAGAACAGCAAAGGTCAAAGCCCTCCTTCAAAGGATGGAAGCAGTGATGTAAGTGAGCTGGAGCAGGTCCATGGGGTAAGGAAAGAACCCTGGGAGTGGGCAAAAGAATCAGGGGTGCTGGGAGCACCTGTGGTAGGTAGGATGAAGGCATCATGAGCTGCTCAGTGGGGACCTGGGGTCTGGGAGCCCTAAGGAGGTAGAGCCATGGCCACACTTGTTTCCTGACTGCTGTCTCTCCTCCACAGTACCAGTCTCGTGGGCTGGTAAAGGCCCCTGGGAAGAGCTCATTCACCATGTTTGTGGATCTAGGGATCTACCAGCCTGGAGGGAGTGGGGATACCATCCCTATCACAGGTAAGGACCAGGGGATGGATCTGCCTTGAGGCTGGGGTCCAGGGCTAGCCCGGAGGAGGGAAGCACTAGTACCTTTGAGGGTGTAGCTTTATGAAATGAAGGCATAAGGTTAAAGAGATGGTTTAGCAGTTAAGAGCACTGACTCCTCTTGCATCAGACCCAGGTTTGGTTACCAGCACCCACATAGTACTAATGACCATCCATAGCTCCAGTTCCAGGGTATCCACCACCCTCTGCTGACCTCTGTAGGCATTGCACGACATGGTGCACTTACATACATGCAGGCAATACACTTATACACATAAAAAGAAAAATTTTTTCTAAAATGCAGGCCGGGTATGGTGGTGCATGCCTTTAATCCCAGCATTTGGGAGGCAGAGGCAGGTGGATCTCTGTGAGTTTGAGGCTAGCCTGGTCTACATAGCGAGTTCCAGGCTAGCTGGGGCTACAGGGGACCCTGTCTCAAAACCACCAAAAAAAAAAAAATTGCAGGTATGGGACTGGAGAGATGACTCAATGGTAAGAGCGTTTGCTGCTCTTCCAGAGGACCTGAGTTTTCTTCCTCCTAACACCCACATCAAGCAGTTCACAAACCCCAGTAACTCCAGCTTTAGGGGATCTGATGCCATCTTCTGGCTTCCACAGGCACTGAAATATGTCATCACTGTGCCCCCCCAACACATAAATAAAAAATAAAGTTTTTTTTTATAAGTACAAGCATAGACGGGCCTCTTCTTTGGGTCTTAGCTCCTGCCCTAGCACAGATGCAAGGGAGGTTGTGAGACCCTGGAGGGGCAAGCACACAGAGAGTCTAAGGAACCTGGGCAAAAGTTGAACTGATGAGTGGCAAAGCTAGGACTTGAGCCAGGCCTCGAGACCAAGGCGCTCTCATTTCTTCCATGCACCCCTGTTCTAAACTCTTTCCTTCCCTTCTGAGTATTTTGAGATGCCAAGACTAGATGCAGAGATATGCGGGTAAAAACACACTGAGAAAGCTGCAGCCCACACTCCCTCCTCCTCTTCCTGGCAGCCCTAGTGGGTGGAGAGGGTGGTCGGCTCGATCAGCTACAGTTTGACGTGAGGAAGGGATCTGTGGTCAACGTGAATCCCACCAACACCCGGGCTCACAGTGAAACTCCCGAGATTCGGAAGTACAAGAAGCGATTCAATTCGGAGATCCTCTGTGCAGCCCTCTGGGGTAAGCCAGGGCTGAGAAGGCTGAAAAATCTGGGCACAGCTCCCATGCTCCTGGTCAGGGGAGGGCCTGGATCTGCCTCTGACCTGCTCAAGGGTTCCTATTGCAGGGGTCAACCTCCTGGTGGGCACAGAGAATGGACTGATGTTGCTAGACCGGAGTGGGCAAGGCAAAGTGTATGGACTCATTGGGCGGCGGCGCTTCCAGCAGATGGATGTGCTGGAAGGGCTCAACTTGCTTATCACCATCTCAGGTATGTATATGGTGTTTGGGGGTACTCATCTCTGGCTTTGTCATCTTCAGCTTGGGAGGAGGGTAACCTTGGTCCAGGAAGCAGAAGGTAGGGGACACACTTTGTCTCCCTTTGTGGTATGCAGACAGCATTGGAGGCAGCAGCTGGGCCTTTGATGAGGACGGGCGTGTGTGTATGTATATGTGTGTGTGTGTGTGTGTGTGGTATGTCCATCCCTCAGGGAAAAGGAACAAACTTCGGGTATATTACCTGTCCTGGCTTCGCAACAAGATTCTGCACAATGACCCAGAAGTAGAGAAGAAACAGGGCTGGACCACTGTGGGAGACATGGAAGGCTGCGGCCACTACCGCGTTGGTGAGGATGTCACAACACTGGCCAGGGAGAAAGGAGGTCTGGGCTAAATACTGGGAGATCCTCCCCAAAACCTGAGACTTGGTCTGGAGTTGGGGTGGTATGGTGACAAGCCTAGGGAAGGGATCTGAAGCCTGACCAAGTCCTTGCATCCCTTATCTTTCCTGCTCCCAGTGAAATATGAGCGTATTAAGTTCCTGGTCATTGCCCTGAAGAACTCCGTGGAGGTGTATGCCTGGGCCCCTAAACCCTACCACAAATTCATGGCCTTCAAGGTAATCCCAGCCTCAGCACCTGTGCATTCCAAGGTTCTGCTCCTCCACCTGCCTTTGCTGAGCCTTCTCTCCTCCACAGTCCTTTGCTGACCTCCCTCACCGCCCTCTGCTGGTGGACCTGACAGTAGAGGAGGGACAGCGGCTCAAGGTCATCTATGGCTCCAGTGCTGGCTTCCATGCTGTGGATGTTGACTCTGGGAACAGCTACGACATCTACATCCCTGTGCACGTGAGCTTGGCAGAGCTGTGGGGAGAGTGGAACCAGCCTATTCTGGACATCAGACATGGAGAACCCAGCCCACCTTCTTCTCCCCAGATCCAGAGCCAGATCACGCCCCATGCTATCATCTTCCTCCCCAACACCGATGGCATGGAGATGCTGCTGTGCTATGAGGACGAGGGCGTCTATGTCAACACATATGGGCGGATCATTAAGGATGTAGTGCTACAGTGGGGAGAGATGCCCACCTCTGTGGGTGAGTGGGGGGCCACTCTCCAAGCTGCTTGCCCCAAAGTGGGCCAGGACCACAGCCTCCTCATAGCCCCTCTGCCACCTTCTCCCCACAGCCTACATCTGTTCCAACCAGATAATGGGCTGGGGTGAGAAAGCCATTGAGATCCGCTCTGTGGAGACAGGCCACCTGGATGGGGTCTTCATGCACAAACGAGCCCAAAGGCTCAAGTTCCTGTGTGAGCGGAATGATAAGGTGAGGGGCTCTTTCTCCACCAAAGAAGCTAAGCCCATGTCCTGGGGAAGGGTCTAGGGGAAGGGATGATTCTGCTGTCTTCCTGACCACCGCCTCTCTGGAAGCAGTGTGCAGTCACAGCCTCCACCCTCCTTCTTCTTGGGTTCTGAGACCCCTTCTGCTGCCTTCAACCTAAGGATCTAGTAGCTCGCCTTTGCCTTTCATTGGGGACAGAGGAGGACCCTGAGTCCATTCTATGGTTTCCTAGTTCTTCCCACTCCCAGTTAATTGAGGCTCCCCACTTCATACTTTAGCTCTTGGTGATGTCATTTCCTACCTCACCCAGGTGTTTTTTGCCTCAGTCCGCTCTGGGGGCAGCAGCCAAGTTTACTTCATGACTCTGAACCGAAACTGCATCATGAACTGGTGACGGGGCCCTGGCCTAGGGCTGCCCCCACATGGACCCAGCTCTCTCCCCAAAGCCAGACTTCCCAGGCCGCCCCTATTTCCCTTCCTTGGGCTTTTGCTTTTACTGGTTTGATTCACTGGAGCCTGCTGGGAACGTGACCTCTGATCCCTGAAGCTTTTGTGATCACGTGACCATCCTTTTCCCCCAACATATTCTCCTCAGAACTGTGCCTGTCCCCAACTTCTGGGGAATGACACAGTTTCCCTTTACCAGGAATTGAGTGGGACTTGCCCCTCCCCCTTTCTCCACTTAAGAGGAGAGTGCTTGGGGCTTGGACCCCTTACCCCATTGCTGCTGACTGAGCAGGGCCCTAGACCCCTTTATTTGCACGTCAGGGGAGCCGGCTCCCCCCTTGAATGTACCAGACTCTGGGGGGGTTCGCTGGGCCCTGGGTTCTAGGGGGTCACCAGCCACTCCAGGGGCAGGGACCATCTCATTTTCTGAAAGCACTTTAATGATTCCCCTTCCCCCCAATCCCAGGGAATGAAGGGGATACCCCACAGCCAAAACATTCCTCCCTGTCCAGCCCCTATCTCGTCTAGCCTCTCCCTTTCCCTAGAGGAGGGTGAGAGCTCTAAGCTCTCACCGTCTGCATCCCCTTTGCTTGCATCTGTATATAGTGTGAGCAGCAAGTAGCCCTTTATCCTTCCCTATCCCTCCTCAATGTAGTGGCCTTGGATATCCCCGTTTGTTAATAAAGACAGTTCAACCAGCTCCCACCATTTTGGGCTCCTACCATTTATGTTTTCTCTCACAATTCTGTGTGCTGGCCAGGGGGACCTTTGAGAGTTGAGATAGAGAGGGCAGGGGAAGGGTATTGGAATCTGTGTTAAGTCTCATGAGGATAAAGTGGGATGGATGGTGCTGGACCAGGAAACCTAGAAGTCATGACTGAGTGGAAATCCGTGTCATCCTCTGTCCTAAACCTCTGGGACACCTTCACTGACAGTATATAGTCCCCACCCATTCCAGCAGGGCCAGCTGACTTGGCTTCTGTTTTCATGTGTATAGGTCCTGCGAAGGGACCCCTAATTGGCTGTCAACTAGACATTTGTTCAGCCTAGAATAATGGGCTGGGCCAGAAAAAGCCGTAAGGTCAGCAAGACTGAACCAAAGGCAAGCTTTGCTTCCCAGAGGGTTGGCATCAAGAGCCTGTCCAAACCAGCCACCTACTTCTGCTGACCCTGAGTAAGGGCCAGACCTACCACATGGCCACACAACAATCCAAAGTTCACAAGACAGATTTATTGTCAGCAGTGGGAAGGGAACAACAGAATAGCAGCTGCCTGTGTTCTCAAAATCTTATTTCTTGCTTTGGGGGTAGGGGTGGCTGAATGGGTACAGGCACAGGCTCAAGGTTGGATACACGGTGGGTAGGGGAGTTGAGGCACTTGGTTGAAGTAACCCCCAAGGAAGATGAAGCTGGAACCAACACTGAAGAGCACCAGGGCAGCACAAAAGCAGATGTTGTCAAGGGCCTTCCCCATACGCACCCAGTCAGACACTTCCTGTGGAAGGTAGGATACAAACCCCAGTCCCTAAAGAGACAGCTGCAAAAGCTAAGCACAGGTCGTGGTGAGGGGCCTAACCCACCTCTCCAGTGGCTTCCTGGTCACGTGTGCTCTCGACCACAAAGTTCACAGCATCCACACAGGAGCGGATTTCAGGGGCTGCAGCACCTAGGCTCTGGCAGAGGGGAGCTGGCAGGGCCATACCAAGGGCTAGGTCATTAAGAGCGTACCCAATTGCAAAGTGCTCACCTTTGGCCCACTAAGAGCAGCGCTCACCAGTCCAGGCTCCATGCCGGTGCCTCTGCCCCTCAAACACGAGCTCGCTCCGCGGCTTTTTCAGAATGAGCTCCTCCGCGCGGAGCAGAATGCCCACCGAGGAAGCCCGCCTTGCTGGTGCGGCCCGCGGAGCTTCTGGGGGCGGACTCGAGCCCAGGAGGCGTGGCAGCAACTCTAAAAAGACCTGCGGCCGGGCAGGGATCAGTGCCAAGCCCACCTGCCACCCCTGGACGTTCCTCTCCCCGCCCAGCGCTTACATGGCGCAGCCTCGGTGATGCGGCATGAGTAGTGGGTGTCCGCAAAGACACGTTGAGCACAATGACGCAATTCATGACAATGAGCGTGGCAACCACCATGACGAAAATAAGATACCTGAGAATCCAGAATGCATAATGTCACAGCACCTTGCCTCTGACGTCACCATTCCCACACTGCCCCATCCAGACAAGGCACCCGCAGGCCTCTGACCTCACAAACACACGTGCGCCAGCGGAGTTACTTCCTTTATCTACCTCTCCCGGACGCCAGTGGCGTCCCTGGCCCTTCTGCACCTCTTACCATCTGTTGCAGCCATGAAGGGGACCCCCAGGAGCTTGGACACCCTGCTCTGGGTCTATCACTTCCACAGCTCCACCGAGGTGAGGGTATGAAAACGGCCCACCCAAGGTCTCCAGTGTCTCCTGCTGTGACCCTTTCTTTGTGACTCCTGCTTCTCCAGGTGGCCCTTCAGCCCCCCACTTCTATCTTCCCTGGAACTTGCTCTGGCCGCAGCCCACGAATATCTGGTGCAAAGATTTGGAGAGCTGAAGTTCTAGGAGCCCCAGGGATCCAATAAGCCAGCCGGCCGGAAGGCCACCCTAGGGCTGGTGCTTAGAGAAGCTGCGGCCAGCATCATAAGCTTCGGAGCCAACTTGTTAGAGGTGTGGCTCTAAGATCTCAGCCCTGTGGCTGCAGCAGGAAGTGCGACGACTGGACAGCAGCGACAGCAGTCCCAGCCTAGCCCCCAACGCTGGGGATCTGGGTAGAGCACTGGCCCGGATAGCCCTGGCCGCTGGGCAGGGGGCTCGGCAAGCTGGAGCTGCAGCACGTGCCAGATCCTGATCCAGGGGGCGTGGCTGTGCCTGCGTGGTCGAGGTTTGCAGGGGTCCACCTCATCCCTGCAACAAGCCCTGCACCAGCTGGGCCTTGGAATCCCTGGGGACCCGGTGAGTTCACCATAAGAGACTTGATACAGGCCAGATGTGGCAGGACTGAGGAGAAACTATGGCTTCCAGCAGTGGCGAGGAGACCAAGGAACCGGACAATCCATCAGTGCCCCAGCCCCATTCCGCGTCCGAATAAATACCAGGACAGTACCAGACAGCCAGTGCTCCTCCAAAGTTCCCTGGCTTTGGCCTCGCCCCCACCCCGACCCCGGCTCCGCTCCGCCCTCCACATTGGCCCGCATCTCTGGTTGGATGCACTTTGAGGTTACCTGCCCAGCAGCGGCACGCTCAGAGAAGTCTCTGGAATTTTCTGGGCAATTAAGAACAAGAAGACGGTCTGGGCGAGCAGGACGTTGATAGAGACGGTGCATTTCTGACCCCCGGCTAGAGGAAGCACCCGGTGAGAGGGGGCCCTGACCCGCCGGGAGCGAGTCCTGGTTTAGGTTTGGGGGTCACGCCTTACCCTGTGCGGGCAGAAAGTAAGCAAGCAGCACCAGGCCCGAAATGAGCACACAGGGCACGATGATGTTAATGACATAAAAGAGCGGCTTGCGGCGGATGATGAGTGTATAGATGATGTCAGTTTCTCTCGGGCTGTCTGCTGAGCCTCCTTCGTAGCGGCGAATCTCGCCTGGGCAGAAGTCAATGGCCCACTCTCCATTTTCTGTAAGTTGCAGTGAGCCAGCTGGAGGTTAGGACCCAGGGCTCCTCTCAGGCCGCACACCTAATCGCAGAACCCTGAAACTCCAAGCCCAGTAGGAGGAGGCAGGGTGGACCAGGGTAGACTGCACCAGGCCATGGCTGTGAGGATAGGGGCAGCGTGAGCAGAAAAGGGCATTCCTGGTGAGGGTATGAAAAATCACAGGGGAGGAGAACCCAGTGTGACAACTGAGACTGATTTCAGTCCCACTCCGAAAGTCCCCTCTTTGGACCTCGTCTGGAAAAGGGTTTTTGAGGATGGGATTTTCACCAGTGAATGCTTCCGTGTCAATGTCGATGTTGTTGATGGGCTTGCCATCGTCATCCACTGCAAAGACGAACTCCACCTCTTCAGCAGTGTAGGATTGAGAGCTGTCGGGCAGGGCCAGGCTCCACTCCAGAAGCTGGGACCTACCTCTGGTCCCACCCTGGAAGCTTGGATCTGGCCAAGTAATAAGGCCCCATGCTCTCTCACATCCCACCTCCATACCTGTTTGCACCCCTACTACTTTTTAGGGTTATGTCTTGTGACAGGGTCTCATTATGTTTCCCAAGGAACCCCTGGGCTCAAGTGATTCTTACACCTCAGACTCCCAAGTAGCTGGGACTAACCTACAAGCGGGCAGCAGGAAGCCTGAGCACACCCCTGCTTCAAACCCAGCTTGTTTCCTGCCCCATCCCAATGCCTCACTCTACCTTCTGCACAAAGTTCCACCCCAGAGAACCCCCCACACCTGCTCCTTCATGTCTGCACCCCTAACCCCAACCCCTCTCACAATTCCCCCCCTTCAGAGTAACTCTTCCAACCGGAAAATGAGAGAGCAGTTCTGCCAGTCAAAGGGGAAGTAAGCGACCTCCACTGCACAGGTGCTGCGGTAGATGGCAGGGGGCAACCAGCTCACATAGCCTCCCTCGTAGACCAGAACGTTGCATTCGTAAGCCACGCCAAACTGCCCATCAATACTGTGAAAACCAAGCTTTTCAAAGGTCTTGCACCCCTGCCCTGACAAATCCCCCCCGCCAAAACTGGCTTCCTCGAGGCTTAGCTTCTTGGCCAATCCTCACTTGTTCTCTAGCACAATCTCTGGCAGCCACACAAGTTCTGAAGGGACCCGCAGGACTTCTGCGCCTGCAAAGTCGTTCTTGCTGAAGTTGAGCCGGTAATCATGCCAGTCCTAAGAAATAGGGGACAGAAGAATGTGTCAGCTCCATCTCCCACCCAGCGCTACCCAGAGAAAGTCTGAAGAAAGGAGTCAGCTGGGCAAGACCTCACACTGCTCCCAGATTTGACTCACAATTCCAATCCAGACATTGGTTGTGAGAGTCTCCTCCTTTTCGTTCTGCACAGAGAAATGGGATGACTGAGGCTGGGAGTCTGGGCCAGAAGTAAGGGCTTGGGCTCAGGATGGGGGGGCATCTTACCAGTGAGATGAGGTTGGTTAGGGTGACCTTGAGGCTGATGGTGACCGTGTCCTCTGGCCTCCTAACTGGCCGGCAGTCTCGGTCATAATTATCAAAGAGATGGTGATAAAGGTTGAGCTCCTCGTTCTTCCCCTCATCCAGGCCTGCGACAGGTCAAGAAGGAGAGTCACTGGACAGGAAGAGGTAGATGGGAAGGCTGCTTCTCTCTGCCCCCCAGGTCTGCACAGGCTTCCTGTGCATCTGTCTGTGTCTGTCTCCTAAACCAGCAGTATAACAGCTGGGGACCAAATGCTGTCTCAGTTTACCCTTGGTCTGTCTTTACACTTATCCCTTCATGTTGAGATATGGGTCCACTTGGCTCCCCTAACCCCTGTCCCCTACCAAGGAGCCCCAAGAGAAGCAGGCCACTAAGCAGAGCCCTCGCCATCCTGCTGTCTGGCTCTCGGGGTTATTCTGAGCTTGGGCAGGCTTGGAGGAGGCAAGCCAAGGTGCCTGTGTGGGAAGGAGGAGGGTGTTAGTTCCGGGCTGGGCTAGGGGACTGTCACCTAATCCTCTACCCCTGCTACAGCTGGGGACATTCTAGCTGCTTCCAGAGGCAGCTGGCCCATCCTGTGTCCCCTGCTCCACCCATCCCAGTGTGCTTTGCCTGGTTTCCAGCCAGTGCTGTAGCCACAGACCTGATCGAGAGAGGAGCAGGTTGCTAGCCACAAGCCTGCAGCAAGGGCTGGAGACCCTGCTTTCAACATGCACTGGTATCCTCTTTGTGAGCTGCTCTGTAGAGGTGACTCTGTTTGATCAATGCATGTGGGGATGTAAACACCCCTTGCCTCCCATACTCCTCTGTGTGGAACACTTGCATACATACATACAACCATGGCATACATGGAATACATACAACCACGGCAAGAGTCACTACGATGAATGCAGCTATTTATTCAAATATTAGTGGGCACCTAGACAGTACTCCCATAAGGCCCCAGATGTTATAATCATAGAGGTTAATAAATGCTCCTAGGACCTTTCCATAGAGAGATTCACAAACAGAGATGGACATGAGATCTGTGAAGGAGCTATGGAAGCTATCAGCAGGATGGATCAGCTAGCTCCACACAGATCTGTCCTAAGAACACAGACTTCCCATGAGCTTGCAATGGATAGGAACATGCTGGAGCAGTGTCCAAGGCCAGGGCAGTGCTGGAGACTGGCGAGGCCCCACCCTGCCATCTGTCCTGTGCTCCCCTCTCTACTGACCAGCCTGCTGTTCCCTGACTCTGCATCAACTTTCTCCTGTACAGTTCTGTCTCCTCACAGCACTGCATCATTCACCATGGTCTTGGCCCCAAACTGACCCCTTGGCTTCTCTCAGAAAATATAGCCAATTAAGCTGTGGTTTCCATCACCACCTGCCTGATGCCATGAAGGCCAGAGGTACAGGTACCAGAGAGAAATTGTCCCATCTAACCCAAGGGGAACCCAGTTCCAAACCCATGTTCACAAAACAAAACAAAGACATGAATGTGAGCTGGAGAGATGGCTCAGCAGGTAAAGGTGCTTTCAGCCAAACTTGATAACCTGAATTCAATCCCCTAGAGCCACATGGTAGAAGAAGAGAACTCTTGCAAACAAGTTGTCTTCTGATCTACATGCAAACACATACACACAAGGATATTAAAAATTTTTTAAGACATGAATGTGGGAAAGGAATTTGGATGGAAGGATGGTTAATGGAAGTGGAAGGGAGATAAGAGAGGATGGGGTGAGAATAATTCAAATGCATTATATGCATGTATGAACTGTCAGAGAGCAACTTTGATTTTTTAAAAAGTATGAAAAAAAGACTATTGCTGAGCATGGCTGCATATGCCTTTAGTCCCAGCACTCCGGAGGCAGAGGCTAGCGGATCTCTGTGAGTTCGAGGCCAATCTGGTCTACAGGGAGACCCTGTCTCAAAAAGACCAAAAAAAAAAAAAAAAGAAATCCCAGCACTCTGGAGGTAGAAGCTGGACCATGAGTTCAGTGCTAGCCTGGGCTACATAATGAGATCCCTGTCTCAAAAACTGAAAGATGCTTTTATTTCTGTGTCTGTGTGTGTGTGTGTGTGTGTGTGTGTGTGTGTGTGTACACCATGTATGTGGGGGTGCTAGACAGGACAGAAGGCATTGGACACCCCCCCCAGAGGTAGTTGTGAGCCACTCAGTGTGGGTACTGGGAACCAAACTCATGCCTTCTGGAAGAACAGCAAGTGTTCTTAACTGCTGAGCCATCTGAGTTCCTCAAAAAATTAACACCCCCCCCCATGTCGGTTGTGGAGAGTGCGAGGTCTTTGGCCCCTCGCCGGCGCCGCTTTGCACCCCCCCCGCCCCCCGCTGTGGCTAGGCCTGTGTATTCCGACTTCATCCAGGGGGACGGTTGGGGTAAGGGTGAGGTCAACAGAGAGCAGGGGTGCGGTGAGCCAGGGCGCTGTCGGAGCCCAGGAGCAGCCGGTTGCTCCCGCGGTACGGAGACGGCTCGCCGGTGCTGCCCGATAAGCGCAAGGGCCTCTTCCCGGCGGCTGCGGCCCGCCACGCGCGGCTCGCCGGTGGCAGGTCCAGGTCCTCTCTATTCTCTGCTCGCTGCTGTTCGGCGGCCTCCTTGCTTTCCTCCTCGACATCACCTACCTGATCATTAAAGAACTGCATGCAGAAAATTAGAAAAATGAAGATGATGTAGACACTGGACTGTTAGGATTCTGGACTCTGCTTATAATCTCCCTCACTGCTGGATTCCCCTGTTGCAGCTTTTCTTGGACAGTGACGACAGTGACTTATTTTGAGGTTTTTTTTTTTTTTTTTTTTTTTCAATTTTTTTGAGACAGGGTCTCCCTGTAGCACCAGCTGTCCTGGAACTCAATATGTAGACCAGGCTGGCCTTGAACTCACAGAGATCCGCCTGCCTCTGCCTCCCGAGTGCTGGAATTAAAGGCCTGCGCCACCACGACCGGCTTATTTTGAGTCTTTTGAACCAGGAATGTTTCCTCCTACTCCTCTTTCACCTAACAGGTTCAAGGTCTCCCTGTAGCCACAGCTGCCCTGGAACTTGCTATGGAGACCAGGCTGGTCTCCATCTCAGAGAGATCTGTGAGCCTTTCTGCCTCCTGAGTGCTGGGATTAAAGGCGTATGCCACTACACCAGGTTCTTTTTTATTATTTTAAAAATGGTAATTGGGAACACAGTGTACATATGCTTTTGTATAATAAAATTCATAAATGTCCTTGGTTTATTAAAAAAATTAAAAATTTAAAAAATTATCCCATCTTCCAAATGTGTGAGTGTGGAGGCCTATGGCTGGCCGGAGCTCCAGCACCTTCCCCGCCTCCCCTCCCCCACAGCCTGTTTCCCACATACTGACTTTTCTGAACACCCTGTTCTCACTGCTGTAACAGAAATTCAGGCTGACCTGCCCAGGAGAATTGAAACTTGAAGTCTTGTTTCTGAAAGTGACTGTGGCTGGGGCCCTTCAAAATTCAACCTAGTGTCTGGTATTCTCTGGTTTACACTCTCCCTTTGGTGTGACTATCCATTCTCCAAATGATGGGCCAGATCCTCAGTTCAACTACCACCACATGCTTTACACACACATTACACACTACATTGTATGAAATACAACAATGGCCAAAGCTGCTCTTGGATCACTAGCCTGCCTATAGGAGAGCTGTTCAGGGATGTAGGTATAAGTCCTCATCTCCTGATTGCCAGACACGTGTATCGAAGCCTGTTCCAGACATCGGTGGTCACGTTTGACAGACAGAACTTTGTAGAGTTCCTGACTGAGGCTGAACCTTATGAGTGAAGACAATGTTCAGAAAAGTGAATCCCACAGGTCCTTCAGAGTCAGTACATCAGAAATTTTTCCCCTGGAGGAGTGTTCAGGAGACCACCTATCACTCATCCCTTACCCTACCCAAGTGAATGTTGGGAGCAGAGCAGGAATAGGTTGGGGAGTCAGGCTTGTGAGCCAGGCTTGGGGTTTGTATTTGTGTAATGAAAATTCCAGTTTCTCTCGTTGGCTGACTTACAAGCTAGACCCAGAGAACTCTGCTCCACAGGAAGCCACTCCCTTCACCAACTGCTCTTGGCTAGCAACTCAGAACAGCTGAGCTGCCCCAACGTCATGGCTGCCAGGCGGCTGCTTCCTAACTATACAAGGCCCTCTGAGGGGTACTAACCCCCAGCTCGCCACAGGAGGGCTCCCTCTGCATTTGATAGAGAACTGTGGCTCTTTCCTAAGCGGGGAAGTGGGTTAACTGAGCAAAGCTAGGGAGTACCCAGCAGACACTAATTGCTGCACTGTTTTCCTCACTGGGACCCCAGCTGACAGCAGAAACCTGCTGGTTGGTTGTGTTCAAGACTCTTAGTACAGAGCCTGGCACACTGCAGATGCTTGATAATTATCTAGTGGACAAATAAACATGGGACTAAATGAGGGAATAAGTGCTTTATCTGCCAGTACCCTCCTTTTAATGAGAACTGTTCTCTCCAAAGACATGCCTAGAGGATCTGCTAGCCACTTAGACAACACTCTGGTCAGAAGTGATTGGTCCCAGGGAGGATACCTGACCCAAGCCAGGTCAAAGAGTCCTTCCCTGAGAATTCTGTCGAGCAGGAGCTCAAGAAAGTGCTTTCTGCTACCAAAGAAGTGAAATTTAAGTACGTTAAGCTGTGTTTGTTCCTTTTTTTGCAGCATGAGAATGCAGCTCATACAAAAAGACATTCCAAGCCTTGGGCCCAGAGATTCCCGAGGCCTAGTCTGCCTGTTTTCCTATAGGCTGGTTTCCCCACACTTCCTTTTGGGCTCTGAATGAGCTATCTCAGCATCTTTCTAATAATTCCCCTTCATTAGAATTTTTAGGCCCAGTGGTAGAGTGCTCGCCTAGGACATCTGAGACCCTGGGTTCAGCAATGAAAAAATATTAGGATCTTTTATCATTTTTGTGATACTGGGGCTTGAACTTGGGGTCTTATTCATGCAAGGCAAGTGCTCTGCCACTGAGCTATAGTCCCAGGTCTGAGAATTAGGATTTTTTAAAAAAATACTTTATTTTTGTTTTATGTGTATGCATGTATTGCCTACATGTATGTAAGCGCACTCATGTGACGCAATGCCTGCGGAGAACAGAAAGAGGCTGTCGGATCCCCTGGAACTGGAGTTACAGACAGTTGTTATCTGCCATGTGGGTGCTGGGTTTCGAACCCGGGTCTTCTGCAAGAACAGTCAGTGTTCTTAACCACTGAGCCATCACTCCAGCCCCAGAATTAGGATTTTTTTTAAGACAGGGTCTCACTATATAGCTCTGGCTGGCTTAGAACTTCCTATGTAGACCAGGCTGTCCTCAAACTCACACAGATACATGTACCTCTGCCTCCGCAGAGTCAGGAGGAAAGGTGTCA